ACCTAACTTTTCATCTATTCATATTTTCTATTTTTTTTTCCTGATGTTTGCAATAATATTCTTCTATTCAATTGTTATTTCTTTATTTGTTCTGAATAACAACAATATAAAAAAACACCTTATTTATAGGAATTTTGTCTTCAGAACATGTTAGTTTATATTTGAATCATGTTGCCAGTTTCGTAAAAAAAGGTTAATGTTTTGTTATCGTTACAGTTGTTTTCCTTCCTTTTTACCCCCTTTTTTATTTAGTTCAGTTAAAGCTTTATTTGCTAAACAATTTATTGAAAAAAAAATATCTTTATAGAATAGGCAAACGTTAACAACAACAACAACAAGAAAAATTTTATATAAAATGTAAGGAATGAAATAAAATGTCAACAACTACAACAAGTTGTGTCACATCTAATAAAAATGTTTTAGAGGCAGGCAAAATAGTTAAGAGAAATTTGTATTATGTCGGGATCTAGTACATAGTATGAACTAGAGTGAAGAAAACTTAACACTAAAATAACCGAAGGATATTGAAGGAATTCATAAAACAATATACATATTATGTAGTGTAGACTATAGTCTGTTCTACAATCCAGACTATAATCTATTCTACAGTCCAGACTATAGTATATTCTATTCCCCAGACTATAGTCTATTCTATAGACCAGACTATAGTCTATTCTTTAGTATCGACTATAGCCTATACAAAAGTCCCTACTTCTTTATTGTCTATAGTTCAAACTATAGTCCAGTCTATTATAAATGCATACAAAATAAAAAAAGTAGAAAAAAAGATCACTTACCTTCACTTCTTGATTTAAATAGACTTGATTCATTTATTTTTGTTATTTTTATAATTTTTTATAATATCATCTTTAGTATGATTTAAATTTTCTTGCATTTTTTTCGTGCGAATTGTACTAAGAAAGTACAATTATACTGAATTTACCATCCCTGACGTGAATGGCCTTTGAACATGTTATTTATTTGTATTTACATTTAATAAAACAATAACAACAAACAAATCCACTAATTTTACTCTCCCACTTGCACTTTCCTTTTTGAATAACTCTTTTTCTTTTCTTTTTTGCTTTTGTTGTTTTTTTGTAACAAACGATACAACGAAAGCAATGCAACAACCGACCGCCAAAAAAAAATTGCATTGGAATTTTTTTCATATTTTTTACCAAATTTGTAACACTTTTTTTCTGTAAAAATTAACACTTTTTTATAAATATTTTTATATAAAACAATTAAACAACATTTGATTTACATCATACAACAAAAATATTTTAAAAATAGTTAGTAAATCACCGACTTAATTAATTTTAAAACTTCATTAACTCACCAAACAACCGAACGCGTTAAAATTTTCTAAGAAACTAAAAAGAAGGAGGAGAGTACAACAACAATAGTAATTGGTGTTGTTGTTTTTATTAGCATTCTAGTAAAGAAGTGTCAATAAAAATGCAAAGGAAATGTCAACAGTGTTGAGCAAATTAGTAAAAAGTACTTTTTTGGATACATTTTTTAATAAATTATGAAAAATTAAAAATTAAATATTTAACGAATTTGATTTGAATTTTACAAATCTTGCAACTGTAGTCTAGACCATAAAACAGAATATAGAATAGACTATAGTCGAGTCTATAGAGTCGGCTATTTTCGGGCCTATAGAATAGACAATAGTCAAGACTATAGAATAGCCAATATCCTTACTATAGAATAGACTATAGTCGGGACTATAGAATAGACTTTAGCCGGAAATATAGAATAGACTTTAGTCGAGACTATAGAATAGACTATAGTCAAGACTATAGAATAGCCTATAATCGAAACTATACCCCAAACTGTAGTCGGGTCTATAGAGTAGATTATATACGGGGCTATAGAATAACCAATATTGGGACTATAGAATAGACTATAGTTGGGAATATAGAATAAATTTTAGTCGGAACTGTAGAATTGAGTATATTGTGGACTGTAGAATATATATAGACTATAATCGGGACTATAGAATAAACATAGTCGGGACTATAAAATAGGCTATAGTCGGGACTATAAAATATACTATAGTCGGAGCTATAGAATAGAATATAGTCGGAACTATATAATAGACTGTAATCAAGACTATAGAATAGACATGAGTCAGGACTATAGTATAGTCTATAGAATAGATTATGGTCGGGAAGGGTATAGTCGGGAATAGAATAGACTATAGTCTTGATTATAGAATAGACTATAGTCGGGAATAGAATAGACTATAGTCGGGATTATAGAATAGACTATTGTCGGGACTATAGAATAGACTATAAACTAGACTATAGACTAGACTATAGTCGGGACTATAGAATAGACTATAGTCGGAACTATAGAATATACTATAGTCGGGACTATAGATAGACTATAGTCGGGACTATAGAATAGACTATAGTCGGGACTATAGATAGACTATAGTCGGGACTATAGATAGACTATAGTCGGGACTATAGAATAGACTATAGTCGGGACTATAGAATAGACTATAGTCGGGACTATAGAATAGACTATAGTCGGGACTATAGAATAGACTATAGTCGGGACTATAAAATAGACTATAGTTGGGACTATAGAATAGACTATAGTCGTTACTATATAATAGACTATACTATAGTCGGGACTCTTGAATAACGTTTAGTCGGTACTGTAGCATAGACGACTATAGTTTGGACTATATAATATTCTGTCGTGTATGATTTACATATCCTAGCATTTTTTAGTGTACCAAGAAAGTACAATTACATTGAAATTACCATCCCTGACGTGAATGGCCTGACAACAATGACCAAGAAAGTACAATTATACTAAGTTTACCAACCCTGACGTGAATGACCTTTTAAGATGTTATTTATTTGCATTTATATTTAATAAAACAACAACAAACCAATCCACTAACTTTACTCTGCCACTTGCACTCCCGCTTTAGAATAACAATATTTTCATTTTTGCCTTTGTTTTTTTCTTTTGTAACAAACGATACAACAAAAGCAATGCAACAACTACCATCAAAAAAAAATTTCAATAGATTTTTTTCATTTTTTCCAAATTTGTAACACTTTTTTCCGGTATTAATTAACACTTTCTTATAATATTTTTACATAAAACAATTAAGCAACATTTGATTTACATATTAAAACAAACATATTTTAAAAAATTTTATTAAATCACCGATTAAAATAATTTTAAAACTACAAATAATTTATCATACAAACGAACGCTTTAAAATTTTCTATGAAACTGAAAAGAAGAAGATGAAGAGTACAACAACAATAGTAGCTGGTGTTGTTGTTGTTTTTATTAGCTTTCTATTAAAGAAGTGGAATCAAAAATGCAAAGGCAATGTCAACAGTGTTGGGCTAATTAGTAAAAGTACTTCTTTGGATAAATTTTGTTTTAATAAATAATGAAAAAGAAAATAATTTATTTAGTAATTACTAATTAGAAATAAATAAATATATATTTAAAGAACTTAATTTGAATTTTTCAAATCTTGCCATTAAACAGGATATAGAATAGACTATAGTCGAGTCTATGGAGTAGACTATATTCGGGACTATACAATAGACGATAATCTGGAATATAGAATAGACTATAGTCTGCACTATAGAATAAACTGTGGTCGGAACTATAGAATGGACTATAGTCTGCACTATAGAATAAACTGTGGTCGGGACTATAGAATAGACTACAGTCGTAACTATAGACTAGACTATAGTCGGAACTATAGAATAGACTGTAGTCGAGACTATAGAATAGAATAGACTACAGTCAGGACTATTGAATAGACTATAGTCAAGACTATAGAATAGCCAACATCGGGACAATAGCATAGACTATAGTCGGGACTAAAGAATAGACTATAGTCGGTACTATTGAATAGACTATATTCGGGACTACAGAATAAACTATAGTCGAGACTTTAGAATAGACTATAGTTGGGACTATAGAATAGACTATAGTCGGGAGTATAGAAATAGACTATAGTGGAAATATAGAATAGGCTATAGTCGGGACTATAGAATAGACTATAGAATATACTATAGTCGGTACTATAAAATAGACTATACTCCGGACTTCAGATTAGACTATAGTCGGGACTATAGAATAGCCTATAGACGGGACTGTAGAATGGACTATCGTCGGGACTATTGAATAAACTATAGACGCGACTATAGAATAGACTAAAGTCGGGACTATAGAATAGACTATAGTCGGTACTATAGAATAGAATATAGTCAGAACTATAGAATAGACTATAGTCGGGACTATAGAATAGACTATAGTGGAAATATCGAATAGACTATAGTCGGGACTATAGAATAGACTATAAAATATACTATAGTCGGGACTATAAAATAGGCTATAGTCCGGACTTCAGATTAGACTATAGTCGGTACTATAGAATAGCCTATAGTCGGGGCTATAGATTAGACTATAGTCGGGACTATAGAATAAACTATAGTCGGTACTATATATGTATTAGACGATAGTCGGTACAATAGATTAGACAATAGTCTGCATTATAGAATAGAATATATTCTCGAGTATAGAATAGAACTATAGTCTGGACTATAGTCGGGTCTATAGAAGAGACTATAGTCGGGAGTACAGAAGAGACTATAGAATAGACTATATATTCTTAACTACAAAACAGATTATATAGACTTGAATATAAAACAGACTATGGCCTCGATCATAGAACAGACCATATTCTCGACTATAGAGCATACTATTTCTATACAATAGAATTTACTATATTCTGTACTAAGTATAGAAAATACTTTAGAACTCCAAAAAAGTACATTTTACTTATTTATGCAACACTGTTGACATTGTCTTTGCATTTTTGTTTACATTTCTTTAATAGAAACCTAACAAAAACAACAACACCAATTACAATTGTTGTTGTACTCTTCATCGTTTCATTTCAGTTTCTTAGAAAATTTTAAAGCGTTCGGTTGTTTGGTAAATTATTTATAGTTTTAAAATTAATTTAGTCGATGATTTAATAGCAATTTTTAACATATTTTTGTGGTACAATGTAAATCAAATGTTGTTTAATTGTTTTATGTAAAAATATTTATGAAAAGTGATTAATTAACAGCGGAAAAAAGTGTATAAAATTTTGCAAAAAAAATATGTAATGCAAGTTTTTATTGGCGGGCTTTTGTTGTGTCGTTTTATACAAAGAAAACAAAAGCAAAAAAGAGATGAAAATAAAAAATAATATTAATATCATGGTAGAGTGCAGGTGGTATGAGTTAGGAGTATGAGTTAAAACATCTGTAAGTTATTTTTGTTGTTGTTTTCAAAAATGTAAATAAAAGTAAATAACGTGTTAAAAGGCGAGTTATTCATGACAGGGACGATGAATCCTGTACAATTGTACTTTTTTAAGTAAAATTTGTATTAAAAAGTCCAGCGAATGATGTAAATCCAACTCTATTTTAATCAGTAATTTAAGGTTAGTGATATGTTTTATTTATTTTTATATATTTTGCATTTAAAATAGACTATATTCTGGACTATAAAATACAATACAATATTTATCATAGAATAGACTATAGTCTGGACTATAGAACAATCTATAGTCTGGACTATAGAACAGTCTATAGTCTGGACCATAGAACAGTCTATAGTCTGGACTATAGAACAGTCTATAGTCTGGACTATAGAACAGTCTATAGTCTGGACTATAGAACAGTCTATAGTCTGGACTATAGAACATGTATAGTCTGGACTATTGAACAGTCTATAGTCTGGACTATAGAACATGTATAGTCTGGACTATAAAACAGTCTATAGTCTGGACTATAGAACAGTCTATAGTCTGGACTATAGAACAGTCTATAGTCTGGACTATAGAACAGTCTATAGTCTGGACTATAGAACAGTCTATAGTCTGGACTATAGAACAGTCTATAGTCTGGACTATAGAACAGTCTATAGTCTGGACTATAGAACAGTCTATAGTCTGGACTATAGATCAGTCTATAGTCTGGACTATAGAACAGTCTATAGTCTGGACTATAGAACAGTCTATAGTCTGGACTATAGAACAGTCTATAGTCTGGACTATAGAACAGTCTATAGTCTGGACTATAGAACAGTCTATAGTCTGGACTATAGAACAGTCTATAGTCTGGACTATTGAACAGTCTATAGTCTGGACTATAGAACATGTATAGTCTGGACTATAGAACATGTATAGTCTGGACTATTGAACAGTCTATAGTCTGGACTATAGAACATGTATAGTCTGGACTATAGAACAGTCTATAGTCTGGACTATAGAACAGTCTATAGTCTGGACTATAGAACAGTCTATAGTCTGTACTATAGAACAGTCTATAGTCTGGACTATAGAACAGTCTATAGTCTGGACTATAGAACAGTCTATAGTCTGTACTATAGAACAGTCTATAGTCTGGACTATAGAACAGTCTATAGTCTGGACTATAGAACAGTCTATAGTCTGGACTATAGAACAGTCTATAGTCTGAACTATAGAACAGTCTATAGTCTGAACTATAGAACAGTCTATAGTCTGAACTATAGAACAGTCTATAGTCTGGACTATAGAACAGTCTATAGTTTGGACTATAGAACAGTCTATAGTTTGGACTATAGTCTGGACTATCGATTTGACTACAAACGACCAGAACAGTATAGTCTGGACTATAGAACAGTCTATAGTCTGGACTATAGAACATTCTATAGTCTGGACTATAGAACAGTCTATAGTCTGGACTATAGAACATTCTATAGTCTGGACTATAGAACAGTCTATAGTCTGGACTATAGAACAGTCTATAGTCTGGACTATAGAACAGTCTATAGTCTGGACTATAGAACAGTCTATAGGTTGGACTATAAAACAGTCTATAGTCTGGACTATAGAACAGTCTATAGTCTGGACTATAGGAAAGTCTATAGTCTGGACTATAGGAAAGTCTATAATCTGGACTATAGAACAGTCTATAGTCTGGTCTATAGAACAGTCACTAGTCTAGACTATAGAACAGTCTATAGTCTGGACTATAGAACAGTCTATAGTCCGGACTATAGAACAGTCTATAGTCCGGACTATAGAACAGTCTATAGTCTGGACTATAGAACAGTCTATAGTCCGGACTATAGAACAGTCTATAGTCTGGACTATAGAACAGTCTATAGTCTGGACTATAGAACAGTCTATAGTCTGTACTATAGAACAGTCTATAGTCTGGACTATAGAACAGTCTATAGTCTGGACTATAGAACAGTCTATAGTCTGGACTATAAAACAGTCTATAGTCTGGACTATAAAACAGTCTATAGTCTGGACTATAAAACAGTCTATAGTCTGGACTATACAACAGTCTATAATATGGACTATAGAACAGTCTATAGTCTGGATTATCGATTTGACTACAAACGACCTATGGAATAGTTTATAGTTAAATAAAAGTAATATAATGATTAGATTTATTAAATTTTTTAATCGTTATATTTTAGTAAAGACTAGGGGTAATCAATATCTAGAAATTCTTTTGGGAAATAAATAAAATTACTCCTCTAGTGATTATATCACTTACATTTACTAATTGTTTTTTTTTTAATGATTCTTCAGTTTGTATTGAATATCGGTTATGGCACGTTGGGTCTTGCATTGGGTATTTTTCAATAGCATATTAGTTGGTTTCACGCCCATATATATCGATATACGTAAACGTCTAGTAAAAACGTATAAATTAGTTCAAATCTTTGTCTATATACAAAATATTTTTTGTTTGATCTTTACGTTATGGTCAATTGTGGACCACATGGAACTTGATTGGTTCTTAGATGATTTTAATATTGTCAAATTATATGCGGATACGTTTGGTTTTGTTTGCCGTTTATTCTTATTTGTTTTCGTAGCATTGTTGAGACATAAAGGCGATAGAATTTTGGAGAAATGGCTAAAGATATTTCTAAAATTGCAAACAAATTATTTTGATAAACTACCAAATGTTGCAGTTGCAAAAAGTACTAAAATCATATTATTTATCAATATCAGCATAATAAGCCTCTATGAGTTGCACAGTTTTTCTAAACTCTTTCCACCTTATAGGTATGGAGAAACTTTTATTTTACAGATATCTGTAACGGAATTTTTTTCAAACCTCTTGCAATATTATATGATGTTCCATCATGCCCTGATATTGAGTTATATCAATCACTGTTTTTCAATTTTAAATAATCAACTGCTAAGTGGAAAAGTAGAAGAACCATTTGGCAAAATTTACCTACAATTTTTAATCATTCTACACGAAACAAATGTTCTCTATGGTCCAGCCATATTTCTAATGCTCATGTGTAATGTATTCGTTAATTCCGTGAGTGGTTTTTACATCATGAAACTTTCAAGGATATATGGTTTTGACATAGTTCTATTGGAATATCTCGAAACAAATGGTACAATATTTACCTGCATCTGTATATATTTATATTTTCTAATGTGTGATCGCGTCTGTCAGACTGCCAGAGAGACAAATAGAATTATATTGGAATATTCAACTAGAGCAGACAATCAAGAGGTTTGTTATGGAGTACAAATTGTAAAACTATGTATTAAATTCTTATATTTTTAGATTGAACTTTTTCTTCAACAGGGTATAATTATACGGGTTAATATTAATATTTGCGGCTTTTTTGATATAGACCTTCGATCATTTTTCGCTTTTATCGCGGCAATATTTGTACATGCTATTATTTTATATCAAGTAGAGTTCTTGGACGATTATATGTATGAGGATTATCATTATGACGATTATGAATATGATTAATGTCTGAGAAAAAAAAAAAACATTTTTAAGTTATTCTCCATAATTTTATAAATAATTCTTAATAAATGAGGTATTAATCAAGTTCCTAACATTATCTATCGGATAGACTAAAGAATTGTCTACAGTTGAGACTAAGTAACTGAATGACGTCAGTACTATAAATACTAAATAGTATAGTCGAAACTATTAGTCTATTACAGTCTCGAGACTAGAGTATATAGTCGAGTTCAGTTCTAGCTCAGCTCTAGTTCAGTTCTAGTTCAGTTCTAGTTCAGTTCTAGTTCAGTTCTAGTTCAGTTCTAGTTCAGTTCTAGTTCAGTTCTAGTTCAGTTCTAGTTCAGTTCTAGTTCAGTTCTAGTTCAGTTCTAGTTCAGTTCTAGTTCAGTTCTAGTTCAGTTCTAGTTCAGTTCTAGTTCAGTTCTAGTTCAGTTCTAGTTCAGTTCTAGTTCAGTTCTAGTTCAGTTCTAGTTCAGTTCTAGTTCAGTTCTAGTTCAGTTCTAGTTCAGTTCTAGTTCAGTTCTAGTTCAGTTCTAGTTCAGTTCTAGTTCAGTTCTAGTTCAGTTCTAGTTCAGTTCTAGTTCAGTTCTAGTTCAGTTCTAGTTCAGTTCTAGTTCAGTTCTAGTTCAGTTCTAGTTCAGTTCTAGTTCAGTTCTAGTTCAGTTCTAGTTCAGTTCTAGTTCAGTTCTAGTTCAGTTCTAGTTCAGTTCTAGTTCAGTTCTAGTTCTAGTTCAGTTCTAGTTCAGTTCTAGTTCAGTTCTAGTTCAGTTCTAGTTCAGTTCTAGTTCAGTTCTAGTTCAGTTCTAGTTCAGTTCTAGTTCAGTTCTAGTTCAGTTCTAGTTCAGTTCTAGTTCAGTTCTAGTTCAGTTCTAGTTCAGTTCTAGTTCAGTTCTAGTTCAGTTCTAGTTCAGTTCTAGTTCAGTTCTAGTTCAGTTCTAGTTCAGTTCTAGTTCAGTTCTAGTTCAGTTCTAGTTCAGTTCTAGTTCAGTTCTAGTTCAGTTCTAGTTCAGTTCTAGTTCAGTTCTAGTTCAGTTCTAGTTCAGTTCTAGTTCAGTTCTAGTTCAGTTCTAGTTCTAGTTCAGTTCTAGTTCAGTTCTAGTTCAGTTCTAGTTCAGTTCTAGTTCAGTTCTAGTTCAGTTCTAGTTCAGTTCTAGTTCAGTTCTAGTTCAGTTCTAGTTCAGTTCTAGTTCAGTTCTAGTTCAGTTCTAGTTCAGTTCTAGTTCAGTTCTAGTTCAGTTCTTCTAGTTCAGTTCTAGTTCAGTTCTAGTTCAGTTCTAGTTCAGTTCTAGTTCAGTTCAGTTCAGCTAGTTCTAGTTCAGTTCTAGTTCAGTTCTAGTTCAGTTCTAGTTCAGTTCTAGTTCAGTTCTAGTTCAGTTCTAGTTCAGTTCTAGTTCAGTTCTAGTTCAGTTCTAGTTCAGTTCTAGTTCAGTTCTAGTTCAGTTCTAGTTCAGTTCTAGTTCAGTTCTAGTTCAGTTCTAGTTCAGTTCTAGTTCAGTTCTAGTTCAGTTCTAGTTCAGTTCTAGTTCAGTTCTAGTTCAGTTCTAGTTCAGTTCTAGTTCAGTTCTAGTTCAGTTCTAGTTCAGTTCTAGTTCAGTTCTAGTTCAGTTCTAGTTCAGTTCTAGTTCAGTTCTAGTTCAGTTCTAGTTCAGTTCTAGTT